AGTTGGGATTTGGCTATAGTAGAACTGGAGATTAAACCTAGGACCTCACACACACTGGCGAGCACTGAGATGCTCCCCCGACTAGAGAACGTGGGTACTGTGGCAGGAATCAGAGCTCCCACTTCTGTGGGACTCGGTAAGAATCGGGGAGTTGATAAAACAGATGCTTGATGTAGCGGTCTTAAGGAAGGCATTCCAAAGCTCCAAGGAGAGTGTGCTGCCTGGATGCTATTCCTGTAAGGAGGGCTGTGGCTGCTGTTGTATGATACTATTCCTGGAGAGACATGAACAAATAAATATCCACTAACCTCAGATAGGAGACAGGGAACCAATGACAAACCAGAGTACAGGAGAGCTAAGTCCAGCTTGGTGAACCAATGAGATTTATTGGAATATGAGTAAGGAAGAGTGGAAGAGCGGAAATGGCTCAATGACAGCCACATCACCAAAGCTCACCCCAGCACAGTGACAGCTCACAAAGCTAGGAGCCTGGAGCATACTGCACAGCCTGCTGGCATCTCTGCAGGTTGATAACAGTCCTTTTCAGGTGGCTCAGCTGGTCCCAGCCTTTCCTGAGTAGCTTCACTTGTCTGAGAGCAACTCTTAACAGTCTTTCTTGCTTGTGTACTCTTGAGGAGGGAGGAGTCTACTGATTCTGGTCAGTTTCAGAGACTTCCTAAAGCTACTTTGAGTTGTTTGCTTCCTGTCCTTACTAGCTTCTCTTCCAGATAGAGTGCATCACTTCCTTTTAGAACACCCTGTTGTTTTACCTCCTTATAAACATCCTGTCCAAAAATATTCTGTTGCTTCATGGGCTCTTTTACAAGTTTGTCTTACAAGGTTTCTCTCCCAAGTGGGAGGCTTCAATCTGAGGCAACCACTATACAACAGTGACACCCTGTGGTGGACAGGGGAAAGCCACACACTCTAGCGGGGTAGGAAGGTGCTGGGATGTTGCTGATGGACAAGAACATGGACAGGAAGAGACAAGTCTCTGGGGATATGGTTCACGGAACCCCAGCTGTAGCAAAGCAGTAAATGCAAATTTGCAGCTGGAAGACAACAAATTCATAATCAGTGCAACCAGCGTCCCCTTGTTTCCCATGCTGGGTGTGTTGTTGTGGTTAACCCACAGGTTGCTGAGCCCCCAGACAGAGATTGGAAAGAACAAAACACAGGCTGGATGTTCCCCATATGCCCTGAACCTCCCTTTGAGGGTCATGCATGAGTTTTTGTTTGAAGAAGAACTTCCCCGTTCCACCTACCCATAGGCTGATAAAACCCACCCCACCCCCAGCCTCTCTACAGGCTTGTGACAGTGGACTCCATTGTCAGCAATGTGGGCCACAGGGCCAATGGTCTCCTGGTGGTGGCATTTTCTGGCATGCTCCGTTTTCCCTCGCAACTAAGTCTGATTCTCTGACTTTAGGGAGGCCCTCTATGCAATCACTATCCTGCAATAAGCCTTAAAAAAATTCTCTAACCCAGCGGTTCTCAACTGGTGGGTTCTTACGTCTTATTTAAGGGAGGTTCAGGGCCTATAAATTCTTCCTGGTGCTGTGGCCCTTTAATACAGTTCCTCACGTTGTGATGACCCCAAACCGCAAAATTATTTTTGTTGTTACTGTATAACCAAGTTATGAACTGTAGTGTAAATATCTGTGTTTTCCAATGGTCTTAGGTGATCCCCATGAAATTTGACAGAGGGGTCGTGACCCACAGGTTGAGAACTGCCTCTCTAACCCACCTAGAATAGATTTCTTGTATTCACAACTAAGGGGCTTAGCTTGTGAGAATGCCAAGAATATCCTGTTTGTTGACTACCTTAATTAAGACAGCCTCCTCCTTCCACTCCTCCCCCCTCTCTCTCTCCCACAAACACAGACACACACACACACAGGCACACACACATTCCTAAAGGCCTGCCCAAATGTAGACAATCCTTTAATGAGACTGTCTTCCCAGGTGATTCTAAGGTCAGCTTTAATTGCCAAGTTGACACAACTTAGATGGGTTTGATTCTAAGGTGGAATCTTAATAACACATAACATTTTCATAACTATCTCAAAGGTACTTTCTGGATGGTCCAAGTGTGGCCGTGTGTGTGTGTGTCCGTGTGTGTGACGTGTTTCCTCCCCCATTGGATGCTGAGTTTGCTATTCTTCATTGCTATGCCTCTCTGGCCCCAAGACTTCCTGATGCCCCAAGGGCAGGGACTCACTTGCCTGTACTCATGACTGCTGCCCCCACACAACCTCCACTAGAGCCTGTCTGGATCCTCAGAGCAGCCTGAGGCTGAAAACTAAGTGGGTGTATGGAGCCTCCAAGAGGGTGAGCCAATCCACTGCTAGAGAGGCCAGCTTCTGCTCTTCTACTCCCTGGGTGTTTTTCCCAACCTTGAACCCAAGCAAAGTCCCTTTGCAAGTGATGACCCAAATGGGGATAGGAGTGAAACAGGAACTTCCCCTTAACTGCTTTTCAGGGGAGAGCAAAAGCTGGATCTGGTGATCGAATATCCAGGTCCCAGTGCCAACAGGCCTTCTTTTATCTCCCAGCGCCCTCTACTGGCCATGGAAACAAACTCCTCTTGGGCTTCAGACACACATCATTTTCTCCTCCGACCCCATATCTTAAATTAATCCCTTTTCTGTGCTTCAGGGAATTCCTATTGATGCCCCCCACTGCCTGCCTTCTCCGGTACCGTATCAGGTTCTGAATGCAGCATTGCTGGAGCTGAAGGGAAGGCTTCTGCTATTCTCTTTGGCCCCATCCACAAGGCTCTGGGATACACCTGCCTTCCGGCTCCCAGGCAGTGTGTTGTAGTGAGTCCTCACATCTATGTGGGGCTGCACACTTCTCTGCTGAGACACATCTAGTGTCATTTCTCCTTCCTCCTTGCTCAGGGGAATAGAGGCCTGTGATGGAGGCGAGCCTTAGGGTGGTGCGGTATAACACCTTCCTTCCTAGCCCCTGTAAAACCAGATCATCTGTCCTGGGATCCTAAGACTCGTCCCGGGCTTTTCCCATAACCTGGAACTCAGACCACTAGAAAAGGGGAATCAAATGCATAATGAATATTGAGAACCTCCAACACCTCCCCTTCCTTGTCTGTTGCAAGAACCTCTGACCACTCAGTTCTTGCCATGGGTAACTGACTAGTGAGCCTAGGAGGGGGTAGGGTGGAGATTGCACTGGACTGGCAGAGAAATGAAAACACAGCCCAGTAAGCGTCCCCTAGATCTGGTTTCACACTAAACTGTGTACCTAGCCTTTTCTTCCCTCATGACTGAAACCCAAGAACTTAACATCTTTGTTTCCGGATTCTCCTATTGGCCTCTTTAGGGATACTTACTTGTCCTTGGGTTGAACAACCTGGGTTGGGCTTGGGGTGTGAATTTGGGGGTGGTGATGAGAGGGAAGCAGTTAGGGGAAGATTTACAGAGTTGCCAGTGGATATGTTTAAGATACATTGTGTGAAGTTCTCAAAGAATTGAGAAAAAAATGTTTTTAAAAGATACAAACACATGGCCTCCAACTCAAAGGGTTCCTTGTAGTATCCCCAAATCACACCAACTTAGCATTTCTTTCCCCTGCTGGTTGCAGCTTAGCAGGGAACTTCCTGTTCCGCACCTGGAGGTGCTGAAGATACATTCCCTCTTGCATCAGTTCATGGAGGGAAGAGAGGAGCCCAGGGTGGCACCAGGGCCTGCCATATCTTCTATGGTTGTTCTCTTCTGTGGCTTAAATGTGAACTGTCCCCCACCCGTCTCTGTGTTTGAACACTCGGTCCCCAGCTGTTTGAAAAGGTTGTGGAGGTGCCTTCAGCACGCCCTGTCTCACTGGAAGAAGTGGTCACTGTGACCAGCCTTGCCTTGTGGTTTGCTTGCCCAGCGTCACTTCCTGTCTGCCAGTGCAATGTGACCAGAGGTCTCCCACGCTCCTGCCACCATCCTTGCCTACTGTGATAGACAGATCGTACTCTCTTGAGCTGCAAGCTAAAACAGTATCTCCCCGCCTTTAACTGCTTCCTGTCAGGTACTGGGTCCCAGCAATGAGAAAGTAAATTCTCTCTCACTGCCTTTACCTGCCAGTGGGCTGCATCACTGGCTGTCTCTACTCAATGGTTGAACCTGGCAATTTGCTAAATACCAGTGCTCCTGACATTCATGCCACGCCCCCAGCGTCCCTGACACTCATGATGCCACACCCTAGCATCCCTGACACTCATGCCACGCCCCCAGCGTCCCTGACACTCATGATGCCATGCCCCTAACATCCCTGACACTCATGCCACGCCCCCAGCGTCCCTGACACTCATGATGCCACGCCCCCAGCATCTACTTCCTGAGGCAGCAGAATGAGTTTCGTCTTTCCTCTTCATACTTCCTCTGGTAGCCTCTCTCATTCTTGGTTCCTATCAGCAGACCTCTATGGGAGGAAATTTGACACTACCTCTCTGGTGATTATCTCTGATGTCTTGTGTGAGAAATCCCTTACACGAGAAGGCTTTGTTCGTTATGTGCTTTAATAAAAGATGAGAATCCACTCTGTGACTAACTGCAGAGGACCGGCTCATAGAAAGACATGTGTGTTCACAGGACTGAGTGTCTTCAGTGGAGCAGCATACAGCCTGGAAACGTGCATCAGGGTCTGGCAGGGAACTTGCCTGTGGAATGCTATTATGTTGAAAAAGGATGTGGGGATGAGAGACTGTGAGGTATATGCCTTTCATTTACTGTCCCCAAAGAGTCAAATGCCTTCACTTCTTCAAGAGGCTAATTTCCCGATGAGAAGATATATACATATCAAGGCTAGAAAGATGGTCCAGGTGAAGAGCACTTACAGAGGACCTGAGTTGGTTCCCAGCACCTACATCAGGCTGCTCAAAATGACCTGTGACTCCAGCTCCAGGGGACTCTACTGCCCCCTTCTGGCTTCTAAGTGCAACTGCATTCAGGTGCATGTATCCACACACAGACACACTAAGAAAAGACAAAAGGTTTCCGTCTTTTGAGCTTGTTTTATTGATATTCGTTAGTGAATGAAATCTTGTTGCTGATCTTGATGCATTACAACTCGCTCTCGGTAGTGCTGCTTAATGTTGGTCACCGGTTTGCTAACGATATCATCACGACCTCTAAGAGTGCCGGTCCTTACACTGGTGCTTCCAGTGCGGACGGGAGGGAGGCCCCTCTGAACACGTGACATGGTCCATCCGAGCCAAGCTTGTCACCCTCCTTTGCTCTTCTACCTGCCGCTTTAAAATACATTCAAATAAAATGTACGCTACTTGCGGTGACTGCACACAGACTCGGCAGCCAGGAGAGCAGAGAATGTGATGGACCGGCACTCTGATTGGAGAATAAATAGTTTGAAATAGTGGGACTGAAGCTTGCTGCCTGGGGACCTTCTCAAAGCATCCTTGGTGGGCATAAGGTGACCCTCACTCGATTCAAGGACGCATCTTTTGCTGAGGGTGTGGGAGTTGTTCATGTGACAATTTCTTATACACAGGACGCTATCCTTCCATAGGTGTCTGGGGCAGGTGGCCATGTGACACACAGATGTACCGCCATCCTCAGACAAAAGTAAATAAATAATATACCTGGGCGCTCTCTCTCTCTCTCTCTCTCTCTCTCTCTCTCTCTCTCTCTCTCTCTCTCACACACACACACACACACACACACACGCACGCACACACAGAGGCTGGAGCTGGAACCAGAGACGGCATCTGATTAAAATACAGCACACATGGGTAATAAATAAAAGTTCATAACTGCACAGGTGACGGCAACGCTCAGGCCGCTCACTCGCTCAGGCTTCTTTCGTTCATAAGCACCTCTGATCGGTTCCTATGGGCAGAAATCGGAGGAGGGGACAATGAACTTGGGGCATGAGCAGGAAACTCAATTCTAGTTTTGAAACAAGAGGACTAAAAAACACAGTCACTGAATGGCCACGGAGCTCTACCGTGCGACCTGAGCACCCTTTATAGTGGAAAGGGGCCAGCAGCTGACACACTTGACACACCTTGACCCGGGATGCCATGAGGTGAGCTGTGGACTCTGCCCTTCCCCTCCACCGTGTGTAGGTTTAACAGTCTTGTCCCCTTTCCCCTTGATCCTACCATTGGTGATAACTGGTCATATATCACCCTGGCTATGACACTGGGTCCCAGAAATGAGCTATGCCATTAGCGAGTTAGCGTGTGTGCCGTTTGCACTTTGGTGTCAGAACCAAGAGAAACTGCCAGTACTGAGACTTCCCTGCAAATGAAAATTTTAAAAATGGGAGAGGAAAAAAAAAATCAATCACACAGAAGACGGAGGGGCCGCCTGATGGCGCATTGGAGTGTAAATACATTCTTTTCGCGGCAGGCTCTAACCCTGACAGCTTGTGACAAAATGCAAGGTAACTTCAAGTCAGAGACGTGAAAAGAAGTCTAGAGAACAGACAGTCCAATGGGGCAGGATAGTGCAGACCTCGGTGAAGCTGGGCCACCTACAACTCAAAGAACAGCTCTCTGATGGTGAGCAGCCCTGCCGGCTGCCACAGGTGAGCGAGGAGACCTGTGCCACGTGGCGGCTATGTGTGCAACCCGACAGTCTTATGCGGAATTCACCAAATTCCTATCCATGGGATAAGAACAGCCTTGGGAATTTCAGTGCTTCTTAAAAGTAAGGAAGAAAAGACGCCACCTTCCCCCAGGTGAGCTCAGGTGCCATCCTCAAGAGAGTGTGACCTTGTAGGGTTATTACTTCCTGTGGATTGGAAGAGAGAGCAGACGGCAAGGTCCCCAAGTCCTGTGTACACACCATATGGAGTTCCAATCTCCCCCCATGAGGCACACGGTTGATCTGTCTAGCTCAGAGGAGACAGGATGCTCTGTCGGGGACAGGAGGCAGAGAGCAGACAGGGCAGCAATCCCTGGCCTCACCGCAAGCTAGTCTGTTTGGGGAGCTTAGCACCCATTAAGATGCCAGAGGTGAGGATCACAGGGGCTCTCATCTGCACGCTGGATCCGACCATGGTAGGGAAGCTGCGATTCCGGCGGATGCCGCTTGGGCACCCCAGAGGCAGGCCCTCGGGGACCAGGCCCCCAGGGACAAGAGCCTGTGTTGGCCCTGTTGGACCACAGAGGAGAGGTCCCTGCTCCTCAGTCAAGGTGGGGATATGGGCTCGTCCTGAGTTCACCACTCTGGCCACCCCAAACCTCCTGACTTTGTCCACAAGGTTAAGGTTGGAGACAGACACATCTGTCTGGCTCTCGCTGCTCCGCACGGGCTTCTTCTCCCTCACCTCCCTCAGGATGGAGCTGGCTGGCTTGGAAGCCAGGAAGTTGTTGTAGGGAGGACTCGTGCACTTGAACTCGAAGGAGGGCGGGGAGGCCGAGGGCGTCTGCATAGGGGAGTTTGGTGGGGTGGACGGGATCACAGCCATCCTGGGGGTGTAGGAGTGGAGGAGGGAGCCCCTGCCGGCTCTGTCCCAACTCTGGGGGTCGTACACGGCCGCGGAGATGCCCCGTTCCTTCAGCAACCATACCAGCCCCAAAGACGTACTCATGGTTGTTGTGGACTCGCGGACATTTGTGAAGGACTCGGCCAGGCTCAGTCTCCGGGGGGTGCATGGCGTGGCCACTGGCGTGGATTTCAAGTGGTTGGTGCTGCTACAAGCCGGAGCTGGGGCTGAGTTAAGGCTGAAACAAAGGGAGGGCGGGTTATTCACCAGAAAGATATCTTTGGACCGATCAGTGGCCAAGTCTTCTGCAGGGTGTGCAGAAGCAGCTCAGGTAGGAGAGGACACCCCCCTGCTGTCTGTCTGCATCTGCTCCTCATTTCTTGGGGTGGGGGGTATGGTCCCTTATGTAGGACTGTGCTTCATGTTATCAGGAAGCCGTACATGGCCCCTTGCTTATCCCAGAGCTGTCTGTCTCCTCTGTACATGAAGAAGTAGGCTTCTAAGGTCAGTTGGCTTATTCAGTGCCATACTTGGCTAGTAAGTGGACTGGATTTCAACCTATATGTGAAGTGGCCACGCTGCTGTCAGGACAGGACAGGAAGCAGACCCTTCAGCAACCAAATTACTCCCAAATAGTTCTTTCTGCAAACCTTGATCTTCTCGAGCAAAGGTGGAAACCAGGGCCGTGAGTATGAGAACCTGCTACAGGAACTGCAAAAAAAAAGCAGGCAAGGCACAGTGCTCAGCCTCCGCCCCTTGGTGCTCCCGCTTCCTCATCCTGCTGTGCAAACTCCCCGGGATCCAGTAGACTGGCCAAGGCAGGGGAAGTAGGCCACATCTAACTTGATAGATCTGTCTAGGATCTGTAACATTTAAAGCCCCACAGAGTGTTTGATGAAGCCACACTCATCTACCATGGCCTGTGGACTGGAGACCTGTGAGGTCCCAGTATCTGGGAGCCAGCTGGCAAAGCCACCAGGTTGCAGGCAGCAGGAAGAAGCAGCAGTCTGTGTTTACAAAGCTGGCTTTCAGAGACGTCTGCCCTGCTGCTGAGAGGGTGCAGAGGGACAAAAGAGAGCCTAGTGCCACTACCTTGTGGGACCAATGTCAGTGGCTGCTGGCTCTAGGCTTCAGCTGGAGTGGCCAGCTTCTCTGGCAATAGGCCAGCTCAGCAGTCCCCAGGACTTACATAGAACTGCTCAGGGGAGGCCCAGGTACCTTGGGCAGGCATCAGCTAGAAAGAAGAAGGAAACCGAGACCATCTGGGGAAGAACCTTGGAACGATGAGAGACGGGCCCCTCCCTCCCTAGAGAGAGATAGAGGTGCCATGTGACCCCACATTTAGGTAGTCTCCCCCATCTAATGTTGGTGGGCACAGGGTGGGAGCCACAGAACAGCTCATAGCACACAAGCTCGAGAAAGGGGACTGCAGAGTTGGGAGCACCCGGAGAGAGCACGGCAGCTCCTGGGACGAGAAGGGAAGACTTGCAAAAGGTACGGGAAAGGTTTTTGTAAATGCTGAAGGTAAGAATGATCTAGACGAGAAGGGTAATGGGTGTGGCCATCCCTTCAAAGGTTTTTAGGACTATTCCACCCCCCCAACCCCGCTGCATTTCTTCCTACCTGAGGCAAGACAGTCCCCCGCCCTTACCCCTCGCAGCTTCCCTTACCCTCACTTCCAAAGCTTTTCTGCCCTGCCTCCCCCGTTGCCACTTCTAGGGGAAGACATATTTGAGGGCAGTCTGAGGCCAGTGGCTTCAGCCCAAAGTATACATCTAGTCACTCAGTTTCACAAGAGACATCAGCATTCTGTGGCTTTAAAAACAACCTCTTCTAAACAAAGTCATAGGCCCAGAAGCCAGCATCTCCTGGCGGGGGGAAGCGAGGGACAGAAACAAAGCGGAAATCCAGGGACCCCATTGGGTAAAGCCTTCTGTTAGGCCTTCATTAGTGTCAACACTCAGCTGGCCTAGGGGTTTAGCTGGGTTAGAGGTAACAACAGTCAAGGCCTTGTTAACCAGGCACAACCACAGAGACGCATTGAAGCCTCCGAACCCGGGTTAGTGGCAGCCACAGTTGCACACACAGCCCCTTGGGCGTGGCCCTGCAGGAGCAGGCTCCATTGGCCGTGCGCTCACCCCCTGCCTTGCCCGTGGGCTCAGACTCTCTGCCCTATATCTCCTCTCAGCTCAACGGGGCATATTGCTGCTTCGTCGTCATCCTCACAAGACCTGTGGAGAATTATTCATAGTTTAAGGTGCTCCCAGGGGTGGCTGTCCCCTTTGAGCTGGCCCTCCTCACCTCCCTCCCTGACACCATCCATTAACTCTGGGATCTAATCTGACTGTGTCACAAAGAAGGGGGGGGGGGGGGGGGGGGGAGGGTGGGGGTGGTGCCACTCTTCTGTGTTCTAAGAGATCATTCTCTCTTTTCCCTGGAAGGCAAGGAGGGAAGCCAGATGGCTTCCCAAGTCAAACAGACCAACATCACTCCAGATGGTATACGCAGGATAAAGACAAGCCACACTGGGCATGTGGCTAGGCACCGTCTTTTTAACACTGGCCATTAGAGTTTGGCTGTGACGTTTGGTTCCTGAAGCCTGCTCCAGGGGGATGAAAGCTTCTACAGAGCTCAGTAACTCTACCGTGAAAGAACTCCAATCTTCCTTGGCAAGCTCAGAGAGAACAAGACCGACTCAGCCCCAGGGCCTGCAGAGATGTTGGCTTCAGCCATCTAAGGAGAGCCTGAAGAATGGACATTATAGCTGCAGAGAGGGCAGTGACTGCAGGTTTCCCAGGCCCCACCTCCCCTAGATCTGAACAAACAAGGCCTAGGTTCAGAAAGAAAGAAGGGACCCAGAATAGGTGTCTACAAATGCCTACAAGATGCTTAAGCCCGCTGGGTTTGGCTCTGTATGTACATCTGTGTGTGCATCTGAGTGCACACATGGGTGTGGTGCCAGAGGGCTACCTTAGGTATTTGCTCCTTAGACACCATCTACCTTGTGTTTGAGACAGGACAGTCTCTCACCAAGCAGGCTAGGCTGGTCAGCTAGCTAACTCTAGGGATCTAGCCACAGGTGACTAGAAGCATGTCCCACCAGGCCTAGCTTTTCTAATGTGAGTGATGGAGTTCAAACTCAGGTCCCTAGGTCTGTAACTGGCTGCTTATTTTTTCCTTGATAAGAGTCTCACTATGTAGCCCTAGCTGTCCCGTTCTGTAACTGGCTGCTTATTTTTTCCTTGATAAGAGTCTCACTATGTAGCCCTAGCTGTCCCGGAAGTCATCATGTAGACCAGGCTGGCCTCAAATACAGAAATAAAAGGCGTGCGGCACACACTTGGCTAGGAATCGGCCTTTGAATGAACCTCTTGACTTTCATCATGACATCTTGCAAGAAAGGCTGGTCCTTGACTTGCCCTGCTCCCACCCACTCTGGGGGCCACAGTCCCTTACCTTGGCGTGACCCGTGTGAGCTCGTCTGAAGGGTGCAGGATGCGGCAGGTGGTAAAGGTGAAAGTCGAGTTGGTCTGTGACATGCACTTCCCAGGGTGATGCGCTAGACCAGGGGAGGAAGGAGAACAAACATATTCCTTGTACCCGTGTAAACCATGACAGAGGCTAATAATATCCAGCGGGACCCTCCACAGGTATGAGTGGCAACGGGCTACCTTGTCAACTGGATCTGGGCGTGGAAGTGGAGACACCAATGTTCTGGACTGACGGTAGCCTCTCAAAAATAACCACGTTTTTGAGCACTGGTCTGCAGAGCATCGAATCCCAGCTTCCGGCCCAATCCAGACAGGGTTCCTCATCAGACTTCTTGGACCAGTAGTGGACTCAGTTCCCAGGGGGGATCGGGGAGTGCCAAGGAGGCCTAAATTTAGTTTTCCACCTCGGAGCTCAGATCTGCCTTCTTCCAGCATGCTTGCTGTGCGTTTCTTTACAGTGACAATCTGGTGCCAATGCTCTGCCCAGAGGAAGGGTGGGCAGGGAGAGGTACTTGGCTCCTGAAAGCAGGGTAGGGTTCACACGGCTCCCTTTTCTGTTCACACAAAAGGGGCTCGGGGAAGCTGGCTCCACTACTGTCCAGACACCTGTGATGACTGTGGTGGGAGGTGTCCTCTGTGGCCTCAACAACAACAGGTAGGAGTTCTCCGGCCCAGTCTGGTTTGGCTATACCCTCATCCCTGGCCCCCACTCTGGCAGCTTTCTTTAACATGGTCTCTAAGACACCCATTTTTACTAGAACTGAGACAAGATGGTCTCCTTTGAATGCTCCAAGATGTTGTTGTTAAGGCAGCTGAAGACCAAAGGTTGGTTGGAGCAAAGCCAATCAGGAGAGTATCAGGCCCATGCACCCGAGAGCCCATGAAGGAACAGGGAGAGAATCTCAGACGACCTCATGATTGTCAGGGTCATCTTAACTTATAACTTGAGCATCAAGGGAAAAAGAAAAAGCAAGTGGGTATTGTCGGGGGAGGGGTGTGCATCAAATCCCACGCACGATGAAGTCATGAGATGATGTACCCCACCCACTGCCCAGCCCTGCAGCAGCTCAGCTCCCAGAGACCTCCTGGGAAAAGACTCCAGACTCCAGAGGCCAGGAAACTTAAAAGCTATGAAGATTCAACTACGAGAATCTTCTTGAGAAAGTTTTCCCTTGGGTTTCAAAAGCAAAAAAAATAAAAAATTAAAAAAATTAAAAATTAAAAAAAATTAAAAATAATCTGGCTTCGTGTTAAAAGAAAACAAAAAACTAAATGAAGCAAACAAGAAAAATCCAAAAACGAAGGGTGAGTGGGGAGTCAGCTGGAGACATGCCACAGGGGGACAAAGCCGGAGCACAAAGATAGTGATGGTGTCCAGATGAGAAGAACAAGCTCAGCGGTGTGCCTGCTGGCGGTGCAGCCCAGCTCTATGTCCCATGAGGGCTGGGTGACACCTGGGGTGGCAGCCAGCCAGCACTGGGACCACAAACACAGGCTTAGTGGGAGGCACAGAAGGACACACAGCAAGTGAAGCACAGGAACTGCCTCTGTGAACCATGGCTTTAGCATCGAATGTGAGCGGCGGTTCCTAAGCTCGGTAACCGGGAGGGTGCTGCAGGGTGCCAACAAAAAAAAAGATCAAGCTATGAAGAGAAGCTCAGCCAGACAATCACAAGTCTTGGACAGTGACAAAGTCCAGGAACAAAACCAACAGGAAGCCTGAGAGGAAGGGTTATTGGGAAAGACAGAGATGGGAAGGGAGCAGGCAGATCATTAAGACACAGTGGTAGTAGGCAGAAACACTAAACATAATAATCTGACAAGGCAAGGCGGGATTAGAACCACAAGTGCAGCCCCCATCTGGACACACGGCCAGAATGTGCAGCTACCCCTCCCTAGCCCATTAGGTGTGCAATCTCCGAGGAGGACATTTTAGAGACAGACTTGAATCATCAGAAAGAAAACCCATCGCATCCAAATGGGTTTGGGAGATAGGAAAAGGCTGCTAAAAATTCACACCCCCCGCTCCCCAGGAACAATGGACAGCTTTGAAGACCCAAGAGGATTGATTGTCCGAAGAGCCAAAGCCAGAGAGATTCGGCCCCTCCACAATACCACTGAGATGTCTGGGTACGCGAACTCTCAGGTCACCACGGACTGCCGGGATGCAGCTGTGCCTCCCTTCCTTGGGACACAATACAGAGACAGTGAGTTTCACTGGGAAGAACTCCCAAGAGGCCCTCCTGTTGGTCCCAGAGAAGCAAAACATTGAATCCTCAAGCCACCATCTTCTGGAAGAGACCAAGCTTTAAAAGCAAAAGACGTGAAAACACCCTTTGCAGAGCTGGGGCTTGCGTTCAAAAATGGAATCACAAAGACCATGCTGCACACCAAAGCACAAGGCCCAGCTCGACACCAAGTTCACGTCATGTTTACCTCACAGGCTTCGGGTTGAGGGTACAAAGGGTGGGGTTCCTTGGAATGACTACTCCAACTTCCTGTTGAAGTCCTTACTCTTGTCTGAGCCTGACTGGAGGGCTTTCAGCTCGAGGGGGACGGATGGACAGACAGACACCTCACCTGATCACAGCCTAAGGCTGCTTGGCAGGTGTCAGGCAGGTTCAAGGTTACTGTTACTAAGCCAGCCAGGCACTTCCAGAAGTATCGTCCTGTGCTATCTGGGCTTTGTGCTCAGAAAGATGAGAGCCCACTCTGTTCCGTTACCTGACCACTAAGAGCGCGCTGATCGTTTTATATAGAAATGGAGTTTTCTTATTTAACAACCCTAATCCTTACGTTTAATTCTTTCTGATACGAGCACTGGCAAGCTTTAAAATCAACCAAACCTTGGTTATCAGAGATCTGCAGGGGTGAAGCCCAGGTGAGTGGCGTACCTCAGGCAGACACTCCCTTTGGCCGGTTGTGTTGGAGGGCACGGGAAGGGTGAGGCCCACCCTGCTCCAGCTTTGCCGACACAGCCTGAGTGCTTCTGCTCGGAGTGAAGGCATCTGGGAAATGACACTGGCTGCTTGCCTACAGCTAGGACCCATGGTGGGTCATCCCTAACACATCCCTGAGTCTCCAATAGGGCTGGAGGGTGTCCACATACAGCAGAGTGTGCCACTGCCCTATGGAGTGTGTAGGCTTCCCATGACAAAGCATCGAGAGGAGAGGGACCATGGCACGGCTCAGATGTTCTGCTAAGCTCAGGGACCCTGCAGGGGCTGACAGATGATGGGACTCTGCCCACCTAGGCAGCCATGTTTAGACACACATCTCATGCACCCATTTCTATTCTCTGTCCTCTGTGGGGGAGGGCAAGCTGACATGTGCTGGAGTAACCATTTTCCTCTCTGAACGACACCCTAGAAGCCAGACCTTAAAGGAACACCCAAGGGAGCCACTCAGTGACACTGAAGCCTGTTGCTGCAACTGGAGTTTTGAGGGGTGACATACACTGGGGCTATGTGACAGACCCTTTGAGAATGAGGAGACACTGGCCCGGCCACACACTAAGCTACGTTTTGTTTTGAGACAGGGGCTCCTGTGTCCCAGGATACCCAGAGCTGACTGTGTAGCCAAGGATGGCCTTCAACACCTGATCTTCCTGATTCTACCGCCCAGTTGCTAGGATTGTAAGCACACGCCACTCCTGGTTTATACAGTGCTAGGCATGGAACTCAGGGCTTCACGCACACTAAACAAGTGTTCTACCTGCTGAACCACATCTTTAGGCCAGGCTACGTTTATTAAAGATCACATAAATAATTTCTAAAAATGTCAAAAAAAAATTTCAAATGTATCTGAAAATCTTGAAAATGCAACCCCATCTTTACAGGGCACAGAGTGTATTCTATACTTACTCTGTGGGGAGCAGGCAACTGGATGAAAGAAGTAAGTGTACCCCTACTTTCCTGTCTTGACCATGGGAGTGTGAGGCTGCTGTCATGTGATCTGGACCTGCTGTGCACTTTCTATGATCTCTTTCTTCCCTCCTCTACACACACACACACACACACACCACACATGCATACTACACATACATGCGCGCACGCGCAAAAGCACACACACACACACACACATACACACACACACACACACACACACACACACACAGAGTTTTGGCCACCATATCAACAGCTTTGGCCACCCAGGAGCAGCCTTTCCTACCAAACAAAGCAAAGCTGCTGAAAATGAAAGCTGCTGTCTTCAAAACTGAAAGGCCTGGCTTGAATCTGGCCCTAAGAACATGAGCAGGTTTCTGGGCTTTGTCTTTAAGAACGCCCAGCGGATGACGACTTTGCCCTGCCCAGGGACGGAAAGCTGCCTTCCCCATACCTGAGACTCATTTTCATGACCCAGGTGAAGGCGATGTCATAGAATTCTTCCTAAAAAGACAAACATCAGGGCACAAAAAGATGTCTCATAATGTAGCAGCCTTGAAAGATCACAGACAGAGAGCCCTGGACAGCCATGTGCCCAACAGCCATGCTACAGAAACCAGAGCTAAGGAACGGCGTCGTTATCTTGTATGTTCCTTGGCATGGGGACACGGTCACACTGGCTTCAAAGAAGACTATACAAAACTTGTTATTTTGACATACAGTCTTGTTATGTAGCTCAGGCTAGCCTCTGAATTCAACATCCTCCTGTCTTAGATACCTGAGTGCCGGGATGACAGATGTCTGCCCTACTCTCAAGATAAGAGTGGTTTTAAATTTTTATACCTTTATTGGCAAAACTTTCTAAGTTCTTAGCTTCTGGCTTCCCTAGTTTTCTCTGCTTCCTGAGTGTTTCTTTGATTAGCCCTAGCCTCATCCTATAGCTCTGTGGAGGCCCCTGGCTCCCTGTCCATTAGATGTCAGTCTAGTAGGCTTTCTGGAAGGTTCCAATATGGATACTGAATAGAATCATAAGACCCCTTTCCTGATTCGGTACAACTGATATTTATAGTTCTTTCGAACTTAAACATTCTCATCGCAACAAACTGTTGCCTGTTTCATTATAAAAATAGGTATGAATTAGGAGACAAACCACCCCATAGCATCCTGCAGAGAAGGCAGGGAAAGGTGCTTCGTGCCTCCGAGGTATCCTCTTGAGGAAAGAAAGTTTCAGAACATGGTGAAACTGTCAAAGTAATAAATGCAAAACTCTCTCTGGATCTTTTTCTACCAACAAGGCCCGACTCCATGGTCCTCAATTCTCATCCTCCCTTCTGGGGCTGACAGAGAGGCCAGAGAGAATCTTCACCGGCTTGGGTAGGTTGGAGAGTATGTCTCTCATTATTCTCAAGGCAGTGGCTGTCTGTCAGAATCTCTCTCATAAATGTCTGCTCATAAGGGCCTCTCCGCAGGAGCAGGCCACACAGATTTCTCTAGTGTCCTGGCGGGGAGGGACTCTACCAGCATTGGGGTGTGCATGCTACCCAGAAGGCTCTCCACAGTCAGCTCTGCCTTATTAGTCTCAGGCAGAGCAGAGCCTGTTCTGTCCAGTTTGGAGGAATCAGCCCTTCCCTCCCTTTCTCTGCCCTCCTTCTTGGTTGCAGCTGGCCTGTTCTCAGTTCAACGAACTCCCTTAGAAAGAGCCTGGGTCTTTCTTAGCCATGTCTTAACACAGGTGGGTGTGAGCAGGGCATTCATTCTGTACAGACACAAAGATGCAAAGCCAGGGCCTGGAAAATGTCCCCATCCCACATGGAACATGGAAGGAACTTCCTTCTGCCAAAAACACCAGAAGGTCTACGCACCAATCGTACCGACCTTCCCTTCCAGACCCATGCGGTCACTGGGCCAGCTCCTTCATAGAAGCCCATCTGGACCGTCTTCTGTGGATAGTGGTGGGATTGGGTAGGGCACAGAGTCAGGGAGAAGGGCTTGCCCCCTCCTGACTGACAGAAGGAATGCTTCCCTGGCTGGGCCTCCTCCTCTCTGTGGAGGGCTATTCTTTTTATTCCTTCACCCTGAGCACAGCTAGGATCTCTGTGTTGGTGAAGAAGCAGCAAAAAGCTGTTTCCTAGCTTGAGCCTCTGGCATCCTGGGGCTTGAGATACAGGAGACCATCAGAGGCCTGGTTTGAATGAGTGTGGTTTTAATAGTTTACACTAGTGCTAGGATCTTAGGACCAGTTGTGAGCAGTGTGCACTGCAGGGGACAGAGGTGGATACCGCCCTGGGGTCTGCATGAGCCAGTCTCCATGTACGTGAGTGACAGAGAAGCCAATCTTTAGTTCGTCTCTGGTGCCGGCTTCATCACGTTTCCTTCTGCTTTGAATCTTCAGGAGAATTTAACTGAGCTAAACCCTGTTGTTCATGCCACCAAACAGCTACCACCTGAACTTAATCAACCCCTTCCCACATGCAGGTTGTCCCCGGCCCCGGCCAAAAACTAAAATACAGAATTCTGACAGGACCAGGTGGTGGCTATCCTGAAAAATGTGCTTCCTATGTAAATCCAGAACATAAGCGATCATTAAAATGAAGTAAAACTGTGACCTAAAAGTTGTTTTCAACAGTCCATTTTAATCCTCTAGGTAAAATTTACAACAAAACAACACAGGTCCATCCTTCTTCAGACACGGTATTAAAAAAGAAAAAAAAATCAAATGGTACTTCAAAAGACACATTCTAACACACTAATAAAAACGTCTACAAGGTGAGTCTACTTTTCAGCCCTGCTCGGTATCAGCCGTAGCCTTTTTTTTTTTTTTTTTTTTTTTTGGGTTTTTCGAGACAGGGTTTCTCTGTGTAGCCCTGGCTGTCCTGGAACTCACTCTGTAGACCAGGCTGGCCTCGAACTCAGAAATCTGCCTGCCTCTGCCTCCCAAGTGCTGGGACTAAAGGCGTGCACCACCACTGCCCGGCAATCCTAATTGCCTTTGGATTCAAACTTCTTTTCTCCAACACCTTCCCAGATATACAGCAGCTCCTGGGACCTCAGGGACCAGGCTGGTGGGACAGAAATCCCAAGAATGGAGCTCCATGTCTTCCCATGGAGACTCCCCAGCCTTTAGCCGCCCCCTTCCCTGACTGTGCATAAAGAGCATTTAGGGTATCCAGTGTGACTCCAGGGGGCGGAGTCTTAGACTTCTACTCCTAACAGCAGAATGGTCTGTCATTCATTGGAGAAATCTTGCTTTGCTACCTTGCTACTACTGCATGACTCTGCATACCTTCCCTCTGCATGTGCTTCCAGAGAAGAGCCCCCCCCAAACCAAGCTCTAGAGAACTCTCCCCCCTCATGGGGACACCTTTCCTGAATGACCCTGAGCAAGCTGACCAACTGTGCTTTGAATGCACACCTGGAGCCTGATCCTTTACAAATTCTGCTCTGTGCGTGCTTGGCGCCCCTCAAATCAAGTTGTGGGGTGAATATGCTACCAGGTTCAGCAAGAGGTGGGACGACAGGCAAAAAAGGTCACTATTACAGACAGGAAGGGGAGAGGTTGGGCCATGGATCCTCACAGCCAGGACTCTCACCCTCAGACCTCTCATAGCAGCTCTTGGTACAGTGAGTTTTATTCTTTCTGAACAACTTTCCCAAGATGCACCTGGGGAAGGGGTTTGTCCTTCAACTTCCAGGACTGGCATTCTAACTAGGAGGGATCTGTGTGACCTTTGACACTTATTCTTATAGCCATGGAAGTTAGCTAGACACAGGTATGGTGCTGTCTGCCTCCAGATGGACTCAGTGCTGTCAATAAAGGGAGATTCAAACTGCAAGCTGCTGTTGCATCCTCTTGTTTGGTATTGAACCCAAGATCCTCCTGCCTCAGCTTCCTGGGAATTATGAGACTATCCCAACAGGCCTAACTGAGTGTGCAGATCTCACAGGATAAATATTATCATTTCCTCTGCATCACTTGGTAACTTACTTTTAAAAACTCAAAACATCAATTTTGTGATGACACCTCTAAGGTTGACATTAAGAGAAACAGTTGGTCCAGGTCAAGCCCCTTGACCATGGCTGCCTATAATTAAACTGTGGGTATGAGACACCCCTGAAACCCTGGCTTCATTCTACCTCCGATTTCATGGCAAGTCAGGTGTCATGGCCTCTAAGAATTATGAGGCAGAAAGAGGAATATCCTTCCCTTGCATGTAGTGACCTGGGGATGTCCTAAGGAAGACAGCATCGGGCCATTCATTTTTCCTCTCACACCTGAGTTCTTTGACATCCCAGTACAATGAGCTAGGAACTCCAGAAAGCAGACGTAACATCTGGATAAGCAATAACCACATAACCTCCCAGAGGTCCCAGAAGCCCTGAACACAAACTTTCCATCCCAGTGCAAGAGGTTTGTGGGTCACCAGTACACTTGTGGTCACACTATGTGTACCCGGAAGTGGGATGGGGGCTAGCCAGAGCACCTGGCATCCTCCTTGTAAGAGCTGAATGATACTTCTTAGTGTGTACGTGGTTAAAAAGTATCATGAAACACTTAAATAACACATGTGTCTTCACTGAGGCTAAGCCACGTCACAGAGCTGACATGCTTCCAAGTGTTCTGGCACTCTCTGCATTTCTGTCTGGTTTCTGTGCATCCTATGGCCTCTCAGCCATTATCATTTCCCTAAGATTGCTCAGCTTGCTCAGGCTGGAAACCCAGGAAGGACATGGGAGACAGTCCACCAGACTGAGGGTCGAACGGCCATAACAGAACCCGAGTGTGCCTGTTCTCAGGGCCCCATATCCCACTTTTTAGCAGCCTCTCCTGTTCCCACTTGCAGGGCCCTAGAGCCCATGATGGGCAGAGGTACCCGCTTGTCACAAGCAGAGGATCTGGTCTCTGTTTTCAAAACAGAACCTGACAATGGGAAAGCTTTTCCTGTCATCCACACAGACGAGCAGAAGCTACAGACATAGAGTTACTACGGGTGGTGCCAGGAACAGAGATGAGTAAAGCCCAGAGCTCTGCCTCCGGTAAAGGTGTCAGGTTTACAGGACTAATTGAGGCGCCCTCACCAGACCCCTCCTCCTCCTCCTCCTCCTCCTCCTTCTCCAGGCCCGCTTGCGCTGGCGGCTGGTGCATCTCCTCTGGGGAAGCCTGAGGCTGGATGGAGTAACTTCTGCTGCCTGAGACAGTCACAGGTGCTCGAGACCTCTCACCTGAGGTCTCCGGGTGCTGAATTGGCGTGGAGGTAGCTAGGCCCGCCAGAGAAATGTGGTCACCTGTGTCATCTTCCTCAAAGTCGTTAAGGCAGTACACTTCATCCAGGTCAACGTCCAAAGTCCGGAAGCCCTTGGTGACCACACCAGGTCGGGGGTCCAGGATGCCCCCAAGATGAGGCTGGGCCAATTGCTGCCAGTGGTGAAGCGTGGCTGAACCTTGTGGGAGAAAAGAGAGGAGAGGATACGGAGAGAAGGGAGGGTTAGCATGCCAGCTAGAGCAAATGACTCCCACCCACACAGAGCTCAATGTGAACACCCGAGCTTGCAAAGGATCGTGTGAAGGACTGGGGTCACCTGAGCTTGCAAAGGACTGTGGGAGGGACTGGGGTAGAGCTGACTTGACCTAACTGGATAACAGTGTGTCCCCTGCCACACCAGGAGGGAGTGGCACTATAAAGAACCAACACTTTCAAAAGTAAAACTATGCTATATACTGTATGCCAATGATGTGTGGTAACAAAGTATTTTAAACCACCCGATGCTAACCCCCAAACTTAACACATTATCACTTTGTTGACAGAAGAGGGTGACATGGAGAGTGAGAGCCACAGGAAGCTGTGAAACCAGCATGAGAACAACCGGGGAGCAGGAGGCCACCGGATGCTCAGGTACAAGGCTGCTGACTCCCACAGCAGACCCACCTGCAAACAGAAGATACGGAGGGAGAGTGGGGGAGCCATGAGTGAGGTGGGGAGGACACAAGGTAGTAAGTCACAGGAGCCTAGAGCAGAGGTGCCATCTCCAAGGTGACACCAGACCCTAGGACTCAGGTGTCAGCCTGAGGGTTTGTAATAACACCGGAGTGTGTCCCTGATGACCTCTTGTGTCCCAGGTGCTCTACCAAGAAAGGTGTCACAAGGCCAGGAGTGTCTGAGAGCCTGGGTGTGGAGGAGCTAATGGCATCTCAGTGAGTATCCTGTGGCGCTACATACTTCTGCCCAACCTCTCAACACCTGTCACACCTTGCAGGTTAATGCCATCTGGCAGAAGGCCCAGGAGGCTGGGACTCATAGCCTTCTTCTACAGAACAAGAAGACAAGTACATGGCCACAGATAAACAGACCTCAGAGACAGGAGACTGCCTGCACCATGGCTCACAGAATCCAGGGCTACTTCTAGCTGAGTAAAAACCCCATGACGGGGAGTTGGGGGAGGGATGGAAGATGCTATCACCCAGCTGCCTTGCTGAGAGGAGAGACAGAAAGGTGGCTGAGGTGGGAAAGGCTGGAGGGGGGACCGCCCTGGCCAGACACCCGGGGAAGGGATAACATGGAGGTCTTAGAAGGATTCTGAAAATGGACTACTTCAATGCTGCTTAAAATTAAAAAGAGAGAAAATGATAGACTTGGGCCTATTGAATGGGATAAAAAAAATACTTTCTATGTGCAAAAGGGACAAACAAAACAATAAAGAGATTTTTAAAAGCAGAATCCACACCCATAAGGATTTCATAACATGTCCTCAACAGGTATTTTTGTGGCCACAATTGTGGGAGAAGACAAGGCTGCTAGCGCCATCCAGTGGCCGTGATCAGTGTAGAGCTGACCATTTCAGTGATGCTCTGAGGCCCCACAGGCAGAAGGCTCAGCCACTGACCATAGAGGGACATGCACGTGCCTGGGGACATGAAGGTATCATCTGTAAGATCCTGAGCTCCAAGGTGCCACACACAACTGTTTCATGAGGCTAGCTCATGTCGGACATGGCAGTTTGCTGTGTCTTGTGCCTCTGTGATTTACCCACATGGCCTTGACAGAGGGTAGGAGAAACAGGCAGAAGCACTTTTAGTCTGTACTCTAAAGTGCATTCTTTTGTTTTCTGAGAGGCAAGGTTTCTCTGTGTAGCCCTGGCTGTCCTGGAACTCGCTCTATAGCTGAGGTTGGCTTCGAACTCAGAGATCTGCCTGCCTCTGCCTTCCAGTGTTGGTGTAAGTCACATTCTAACTTTGTGTTGTCTGCAGGGCACACTGTAAGTAGCCCTGCAGACATACATCATAAAGATTTCTTTGACCTGGTTGCAATCCCAATGGGACTTGGGAGGAACTCAACACATAGTAGTCACAGTGTGAGCTAGATCCCCACTACACAGAGAGACAAGACAGGAAGACTATCAGCAGCAACAGGGAAATACATCAGCACCGTGATACTCAGAGACAGGCTAACTCTCTAACCAGAGAGGCAAGGCTAAACTATGGAGTGACTGTCTGCCTCAGTTTCCTCTCCCTGTATAATTTTTGGGATGAGATGGAAGGCAGATCTCCAATGGGTTAACCCATTGTCTTCCCCACTAATTAAAGACAGCTTGAAGACTCTGCCCCTGCCTCTGCTCACTGGCATCTGAAATGATGGCACTGTTCGAACCAAAACTCACTGTGCTCTACACGTGAGCACTGCTCTGTGTTCCTACAACTTCCTAGTAGAGGGTGTCACTCACTGTACAAACAGGGGAATGGAAAGTTCCTGAAGCTAAGTGCCTGGGGCCAGAACATGAGTACTTGGGGCAAAGTGGGCTCAGTGGCAGGAGGAGTAGCCACCAGCTACATAGATGGTGCCAATGACCTACAGCAGAACTTCCAGGTAGGTGTCCAGGGCCCAGCAGGAGGGCCACACACTCAAGCACTGAGGGAACCTCTGTCACCTTTGACAGTCCCTATCACACTGTCCATGTGCTTTCTCACAGAAGGTCACGGGGACAACCTGGCAGAAGCCATCGTCAAGGCCAACCTGGACATCCCGAATGTCAGGATACCATCTTGCAGGCAGTCACTCAGTGTGGGCTGAGCTACACGCCTGGCTCCTTGGACACTCCCCACCTCACAACACCATATTATGGGCACTCACTGAATGTGGGCCTCGCCATACACCTGACTCCTTTAGTTTCAGGATCACCTGTTGTATCTCCTCCTCACAGACAAGTACACAGAGTGTGGGAAAGAGACATTCACCAGAGGTTGCACTAGAGCGAGCAGCCCATCTGGGATGACCGCCATCTCTGACATCCATCCCTGGAAGCTCTCAGCAGAGAGAATGCCTCCCATGTGAGCCTCACGAACCCAGCAATAGCAAGCCCAGATGACGGCCACACCCAAGGAGCAGGTGTTTTCAGCTCCACAGACCCAAAAGCTGTCTCAGCCTTAGCTATGATTTTGGTGGTCAACAGTGGGCCTCAAGAACACTTTCTCCCTGGCTGGCTGCCTGAAGTCCTTTCTTTGCTATAGAGAGCAAATGTGAACGTGACTATGAAGCAGGCCTTACCAGAGCTGAGTACAAGTGCCTCGCCCTGTCCTTTCTCTCCGTCTCACTCCCCAACCCGGCCTCGTTCCCTTGTCCAGAAGGAAGCAGGACATGACTACCACACTCCTCCCAGACCCCTGAGAACAGGCTGGAGGCAGGCGGAACACAGAAGGACAACTGCCTACCTCAGTCTTTCTAAGACAGATCTCTCTATCTATCTATCTTGAATATTCCACTCTTTACTTGCTTAACCTTGAAAGGCCTGGTGAAACTGTGAGAGAGTCGTCTGTCACACCTAGCTATGCTGGCCTGGCTGACACATGAGGAGATGGCAGGATGGTTGGAATGAAGAAGGAGATCTAGACAGAGGACACTGTTGGCTTCTACGATGCTCCCAGACAGTGGTCTCTGGGGACCTCACCCCAGGTGCCTTTCTCTGGACTGCTGGTGATCAAGGGCATCCTATCAGTATCTCACTGGTCCAGGTGAGAACATGACCCCAGTGTGGTGATGGTCCAGGTAAACAGTGGTAATTGGGCCCTAAAGACCAAGGAGGCTGAATCGGGACAAGTCTGATCATCTTGACGGACAACTATCTGCGTATGTTACAAATAAAGAAGAATTCGGCACAGTGAGTGGTAGAAGCTGTAGTTAGGACGACAACTATGCCCACAACCCCTCTTAGAGTAAACACAGCAACACAGATATCCACTGTGGAGGGGAAGGAAGAAAGAAAATATCAGTTGTCTTTGAACAACCAAGGAAGAAGTCTGAGAAATACAAAATGAAGCCAAAGGATCCTTATCACAAGGGTGTGTTACAGGCCACAGTGATAAGAAGGACTTTTTAATAGTTAATTCAACTTCTTGGGAAGAGGGTGCCATAGGCAAAATTCATCTTACAAGTGTGTGGGGTCTCCTCTGACTCTTGTCATAAAAACACTGCCACCCAGGGTGCAAAGTCAGGGAAACGGAGATGCGTTGGTCAAAATGAAATTTTCGAAATCTCATCCTGCAATGCACTTGAAAAAATGAGTCCAAAACACAACACAGGCGACCCAACAAAACACAATGAAGCACGGAGAGTGGGGAGATGGTGTCTAAAGGCCTTTGAGAGACAAAAGAAGAAAAGAAAGGCAGAAATAAAATTGCAGAAATGGAAGGTTTTATTGAAAGAAAACCAGACATAATTGCAGGTCAGAAAACAAACCCCAAGATTACAACTGAATAAACAAAAAGGGGCCATCTCTGCCCCGAGAACTAGGAAGGACTTAAATTACACAAACTGTAATCATTAAAATGAAAACAGAAAGAAAGAAAAGAGTCCTTCCTCTTTCTTTGGAGACACAGGGAGCGTGGCACATGCAGGACCTCAGCTTTGCAGTAAGGCTGACACGGTCCCCACAGCAGCAAAAGCAGGGGCTCTTGGGATAAAAACAGTTATTAACTGTCTTTAAGCACAGAGCACAAGTTTGTACCTGTGTGACAGAAACTATCTGTGGCACTGAAACGTTACAGAGAGTCTGGAGCATAATTAGATTAAAGCATCAAAGACACCCCCAAGAAGAGATAGGAGAAAAGCTCAGAAAAGAACAGACCTGCAAGTGTCTGACTTTACATCAAAAATACACTGCATGGTTCTAAAGCAGGTCTTCCAACTCACCCGGGCTTCAAACAAAATGGGAGGGCGGGGGGACAAACAGTGCATACTGGGTGGCTCCTGACAAGGCAGGGGGACAGAGGAAACAGTGAGGTCTTCTAGGAACTCAGTTTCTGAGCAGCCCCTGGTACTAGTGGGGTGCTTAGTGGAGTCTGAGGAAACCTCCATCCATCCCTCCCTCCTGCAGACTGCGGGGGTGAGGGTGGGGAGGGCTAGCTCACGGCAAAGCACACCTCCAGTAAGCTACACCCTCTCTCTATGAAGAACAGATGGGAACAGGTGATCACACACAACACTTCCACATGCCTGGAGGCAGGGGTCACAATGTGTACTTTGCATTATTTGATAGTAAAATCTCTGAGAAGCTGACGAGTTCCTTCCCCACCCGTCTCAGACCCCTGGGTTATCCAGAAGTAGCCTATTGTCACACAGCTACCACAGAGGGTCTGAAGCTGTGCAGCTGCCACTAAGCTTAGGTCCTAAAGCGCTAAGGACAAAAGAGACCTGTGGGCCACCTGCGGGAGTTTCACCCAGGAGTGTACCGTTCAAGCCACGACAAGAGACTGCAGAAACAGAGGCCACCTCAGAGGAACTCAAACCAACAGCGTGGGTGGCTATCTCGAAAGAAAAATGAATAGGTGTGACACTGATGGCTGGCTTTCCTGTGGTGGATCAGGGCCCAGAGAGAGTCACAGAGGAGGACAGAGAGAGGCCGAGGCCCCTGGTGGTCACCTTCGAGTGGCTTCACAATCTGCAGCTTCTCGGGCAGGTAGGAGCGACTGCAGAAGGACATGCCGGAGAAGCCGGTGAACTCAGAGAAGCGTGAATGTGTGCCCAGGGACATGATGCTCTCGGTGGGCGTGAGTGAGCCACTGTGTAGCTCCCCCTTCTCGGCCAGCTCTCGAAGCTTCCTCTCCTGCTCCTCCTCGAAGAACCTCCGCTCAGACAGGTAGTTTTCCCGGCGCAGGGATAGCCGCCTAAGTGCTGTCTCCAGGTCATGGGAGCCTGGTGTGCCTGGCGTGCCTGGCTTCTTACTGTGCTCCTCATTCCTGCGGAAGGACAGGGGGTAAGTATCTATAGCCAGCAAAGGGCAGTGAGAACCCCTCAGGGCAAAGAGACAGCGATGGTCTGAGACCAGGGTCAGCCAGACACTGGAGTCCCCTCTGTGGGTCTCAACTGACTATTCTTAGAGGCAGGTGGTTGTACTAGGATGGACTGAAAATCTGCAAGAATGTGTCTTCATAAGCATCTTCCTCCAGGTTACGCTGGAAAAAAACCTTTTGCAGGGGGCTGTACTCAGTCCCAAAGAGGAACTGACTCAACACTCTTGTCTCTTAAAGGGCCTGTGCTCTGAGTGAAACCTGCTCTGATCTTGGAGAACCCCTCTGATGGGCTCAACTGGTCCAAAGTACCTGTTTTAGTAAGTCAGACGGCCAGGGTGCACAGGTGGATGACGGGATCGGGTGCTGGAGTTCTATAGGGCATTAGGGTGGAGAGGAACTGACCATAACTAAGGAGAACCCTACATTCCACCTTCTGAGAATCAGAAGAACCTGGGATCTCCTTGTGCTTCCCAGCATCCAGGCTCCCGAGGTGTCACAATGATGACTTGTGGGAAATGTGTTAGTTCTCCCTCCACGATGTTATGATAAAGCACACTGTGGGCATCAGCTTGAGATACTACTTCAGAAAAGACCAGTGTCGTGGGTAAGGTGGGTAACTGGGATGTGGCAGCTCTCATCCACCTCTCTCTGATGGTGACTGAGCCCATGTTCAAGGTGTATCTCCTCTCCCCTCCCTTCAACAGAAGGAGAGGAGCCTGCCGCTCACCCCATGTCGGCTGCCTCAGTTTCCAGGAGGATGCTGTTGGTTTTGTTATCGAGGACCACGTTACTGACGTCGCTGCCGTAGAAGCTGGAGCGGGGGGTGCTGACGCAGCTGGACAGGAGGGAGTTCATGGCTGACGACTGGTTGGAGCCCGGGATGTTCATGGGGGAAGGGGTTAGTGATTTCTGCTTGACTACTTGATTGATGTTTCTCACCGTCTCAAAGACGCGCTTCTGGTGGCTGGGGAGGACATGGCAGCCATGAGCCAGCGTATCGGGAAGAGCCTAGAACTAACCCCTTCACAGATGCCTACCATGAGTGGCCTGCTGTCTAGGGGCCTCACATGCTCCTTAAGGTACCGGGTGACCCCATTATAGTATGCTAATCCCAACCGAATCTAAGCCTCCGTAGCACAGCTCAGCACTAGGTTCAGCTAGCCCAGGTGACACTTTATCACAGCCTGAAGCCTGAGCTAGACACGACAGTGCTTTGGGGTTGCTTTGTCCTTGGCAGGCTTGCTTCTTTCGGGCATACAATGAGAGCAGCAGGAGGGCTGCGCCCTGTAGAACGAGTATGCGTAACCATTCACATAAAGTCAAACAGCAGAGAACACGTCTGTCTGAAGTTCCTACCCTTGAGACGATAAAACACTACTGGGCTATTCTTGGAAACTGCCATTTCTAAGAACCCACAGTTTGAGTTCTCCTTTTAAGGGAAAAAGGGTGGGCATATTTTGGGACAGGCTGCTTCCTCTGAGGATGCCGGGCTGTACATACACCAAAGTCACCGGGACACTAGTCATTCAGGAGGAAACATGGTCCCCGGATCTCTCTCAGTGTTCCATGGAAGTCAAGCTGGGCTCTGTGGTTAGGAGGGAAGACGTAGGAGCCGAGATTCCAGGAGTACTGAGGATCAGAAGCCTGGCTCACAGCTCAAGAACCCATGTTTTCTTTTCTTAGCAAACATGGAAACTTTTTAAGGTAATGCTTTCCATTAAGGGAAAAGGTGGAGGGTGGAGATGGGAAACCCAGCACCCTTCCCACTCCCTGGAAGTTCATCAAGTAACCTCCTTTGTTGGTTTGGGTTGTTTCTCGTGACGGGGACTCACACATCCTAGCTGTAAAGACGGCCTTGATTGTCTGAGCCTCCTTCCTCCACTTTACCACGAGGTATTAAGAGGGACACAACTGAGGGCCCCCTACACACTAGGAAACTACTCTACCCACTGAGTTTCCACTAGGAAACTACTCTACCCACTGAGCTCCGGCCTTAGAGAGATGTCACTGTATCGTTTACTTCCCTTAACCTGGCAGGGAAGGACCATGGCTGGCCGGTGGTGTCTAAGGTCCACACACACGCTAGGTTATGAGCACAGGTTCTGGGTCAGTTTGAGGGAACTTGAGATATAAAAGTCACGTGGTCATACGTGATGTCTGGAGACTCCGGCTCTTCCAGCTGCAGCTCCTTGCGCATAGTTCCCTCGATTTCTGCAGCCAAGGAGTCCTGGGGAAAGACAGAAGACATGTGTGGTCTGAGCAGGGGCTCAAGGCTTCCAGATGAGGTCTAAGGCCAGGAGGGCCAGGAGAAACACAGACAGATCCAGCAGCCTCCAGACTTCATGCCATACAACACAAGGCTAAAAGCAATCCCTACGGAGAGAGAATCAGTCAGGCCATGGCCAGGGCAGGTTCTGAGCACACAGAACCTTTGGGTGTGAGTGAACGGCCCCTAACCCTCATGGAGCTGAGTGTCTGACAGCCAGGCACCCTTGGCCAAACAACAGAGCTAAAACTGTGGCTACGATGTGGGATAGAGAACTCAAGGAGACGGGAAAGTGTGTTCAGAACAGCGGAAACAAATCCAAACGTCCCACATGGTCCCACAGGCCCCACTGAGCTCCTGTCCTGCCAGGCCACCAGGTCCACCATCCCAGTGATTCAGGATTATGACACACGGGAGGCCAAGGCTTATACCTCTGACTCCTAGGTAGACAATCACCTGCCGAGGGCTCTCTGGTTCTGCTGGGGAGAGGTCCCTGCCTGCATGGACTGCGTCAGACACATTCTCCGTACTTTCTCTGAAAGCTCCTTGCTCCACCAGCTAGCCATGGTACCCGCCTTTGCCATGTGCTCAGGAGACAGGACTGCTGCTTCCAGGAAGACCCTGCACTCCCTCTTTGCAGACACTCCCTGCCCACTCCCACTCCTGACTCCATCTTCCACACAGTGTACCAGTTAACCCCTTAATTCCTACTAGTTTTCTCTACTACACTGTTGCCCTTTTCTGAAGGGGTGAGGGGGGATGAGCTTTAGGGTCAGGAGTAAGGCTGGTCCTGGAGTTCTAGAACTTCCCAGGCATACTGAGGTTGACCCCACACACTCTTCACACATCCCCTCAATGTGAGGAAGACTTAGGAAAACAGAAGACATATTCCCCCACAGTGTTCAAGGGTCACCCGATTCTGTCCATGGACTGCAGACTGAAAATCCCACCACAGGGCAAAGGAACTGAAAACACAGCTGAGGAAAAGCTGCTCCTGGCAGCTGGAGTGGCCGAGAGCAGAGGCAGATGTGGGCGCTGGGCTCCAGCAACACGGGCATGCTGCAGCCTTTAGACTTTCAGAACAGCCATCTCTAAAACCTGAGCTTGCCAAGAGCCTCAAAACGGGCAAACAAAAGCTTCCAGTAAGCGCAAAAGCAGAGAAACCCTCCAGAAGAAACGGACCAGAGCGTGTGCTAGCCAGAATGGTTTGATACACACACACACACACACACACACACACACACACACACACACACACACACGCATGCAGGGACACACACACAGACACACACAAACACAATGACAGTGCTTGTCAAAGGACAATTTTGGGGAGTTAGTTCTTTCCTGTCTTGTTGAGATGGGGTCTTTCCTGTTTCTGTCCTCACAGTGTTCCAGGCTTGTTGGCCTGTGAGCTTCTGGCAGGTTCCCCGTCTCCACTTCCCATGTAACACTACAAATGCAGAGACTACAGATGTGCACCACCAGATTTGACTTTTCTTGTGGTTTCTGGAGATCAAACTCAGTCTGCCAGGCTTGCACCGCTGGTGTTTCTACATGCTGAGCCATCTCCCCAGCCTGGTTTTGTGACAGTTTTAAGGCCCTGGCCATTCTCCTCTAAGTTACCTAGTAAACTCACTGGCTCACCAAGCTAGACTCGGGTAGAATTGTTTATCTGAGCTATCTGTCTGGGGTAAATAGAAACCGCCTTCTCTGTCTGGAGTGACTAGAAACAGACTTCCCAGGAAAAGTATCTCTGCAAGAGACTCCTTCTTCAACCCCTTCTTAGTTGGTGAGAAGGCTCAGAGGGTAAAGATCAGATCCCTGGGACCCAGAAAACTGACTCCACAAAGGTGTCCTCTGATCTCCACCCATGCACTGCTCCAATCACACACACAGTCACAGAAATAATAATAAATAAACATTTAAAAAATTAAAACAACAACAACAACTCTTTTCTTGACTTGGAGAGAATCTGTCACTCTACCAGACGACTGGAACAAAGCCTGGATGGACACACAGGAGCTCTTGGACGCTTGTTCTCGGGCTGTGTCATCCATGGGCAATCGAGGCTTAGTGGCTACAGCTCTCCACTGCCTTGCGCTAACACACAGTGAACGAATGGCTTCCCCAGCTTAGGAAGCTGTGGTCTGCTAGAACATACAATGAGTATGCTCGTTTCCTTCTAAGTAGATATCACAGGGGAATGACTGGAGATGAAACCGGAAACCCCCTTTGTCCTTCATCAAAGCCCTTTGGAGCCCTGACAGCAAACAAGCCACACCAGGACTAACAAAATAAGATCATGGGGGAATACAATTTTTAAAAAAGTTGATTCAAATCCCTGACACCAACAGAAGGGTTAATAAACACACAAAGAACCAAGAGAAGTTCAGGCTCCTTAAGACGTGGCTAATAGCAGCCCCTATGTAACATCTAACGAAACCAAGTACCTTGTAACACTATTACCAGTAGGGAGAACAGCCTATGATAAAGGGCCAGTCCTGCTTAGGGAATCAAGAAGCCGCCAGCCGGCAGGTCCAGGTGCAAACTTTAAAGGAGTAAGCAGCTCACCGGAAAGATGTAGGGCCAGTGGTCAGAAAGGGACACGATGCCCCTGGGGCTAAAGTCTGACTATGATCTGGGGGAAGAGGGGCACAGAACCCACTCACCATGGGGAACAGGCCCAGAGAGTGGTAGCGCCGGGACGTGGGCATCGTCTTGTTCCGCAGGTTCTTCAGTTCCTCCTGAGCCTCATGAAGCATCTCCATGCACTCCGCATACTTATCCTCCAGCTCTCGAAGCTGCGGGGAGAGGCAGACCGTCAGGCCTGCACAGCACCAGCAAGCACAGAGGTGCTGACACACCCACCAGCCCTCCCCACCTGAGAAGCAGAACTACAACTGAGTCCTCAGCTCCTCATGGACCCTGCAGGCCTGTGGGCTCGCGGCAAAGCGGGCTGCATGCACAAGGCTGGCCTTTCCCTTCACATGGGGAAGGCTTGCAGACTCGGAAAGCTGCTGAAACACTCATAGTGGGCAAGCCAAACAAAACACCCAGACAAAAGACTAAAGGGGCGAAGAGGCAAATCCGCACCCTCCTCTCCAGCTCCATCTTTCACTTTTGTTTGATACAAAGTCTCTCTCTGTAGCCTAGGCTGGCCTTAAACTCAGCTATCCTCCTGCCTCAGCCACTTGCAGACTGGGATTATAGTTAAGTACCACGATGCCCAGATTCAAGTTGTATCTCTGAACAGGCTCTTTATAAGTCTGTGCTATACCTGTTCACCTATCTGGTGTCTGTCAGGAGTTAGAACATGTCAGGCCCTGAGCTGGTACTGAATCCAGCCTCCTTTGCTTACAACAAACACCAGAGGCAATAGGCCCAGAGCCCTGGCAAAGTAATACTATGCTAATTCAACAGTAAAATGTTCAGTATGAGGGGAATGACCTAGGCCTATGGAGGAGGGCCTTCACTGGAACCCGAAGCCCTGGAGTCCAGGCAGGGACACCCACCTCGGCTGTGAGCTGACGCTGGGCATCCTTGGCAGCGCCCAGGTGCTGGACAAGCTCTTCATTCTCCACCGCACACTAAACATGGTAAAGACAAGTCACCTCTGTTAAGACACTCAGGAGCCTGACTTGACCCTCTTGCTACCTGACTGTGAGGAGCTCGGCACTGTCTCCAGAGGACCGTGCACCTGACGGCTGCGGCAGGGAAACAGACACTTTTTAAAAACACTCTCATTTGTGTGTGTGCATGTACATGTGTGAGTGTGAGTGAAGTGTGTGTGTGTGAATGTATATATATATATATGTATATATGATGTATGTATGTATATTGTGAGTGTGAGAGCATGTATGTAAGAGACTGTGTATGAGTGTGTGTGTATGTATGTGTGTATGAGTGTGTGTGAGCGTGTGTGTGAGAGAATGTGTATCTGTATGAGTGTGTGTGTACGTGAGGGTATGTACATGAGTGTGTGTGAGTGTATGTGTGAATATGTGTGGATGTGTATGACTGTGTGTATGACTGTGTGCGTATGTGTGAGTATGTGTGAAAATGTGTGAACAAGTGAGTACGTATATGTGTATGTGAGTGTATGTATGAGTATGTGTGTCTGAGTGTGTGTGAGCGTGTGTGAGAGAATGTGTATGGGTATCTGTTGGGTGTATATATGAGTGTGCATGTGTAAATGTGTGTGTGTGTGTGTATGTATGAGTGTGTTTATGTCTGTACGAGTATGTGTGAACGTGTGTGACTGTGTATGAGTATGTGTATGTACGTGTGTACGAGTGTGTGTGAGCATGTGTGGCTACGTATGTGAGTGTGTGTGCCTACAGTGCATGTGGAGGTCAGAGGACACTTATGAGAGTTGGATGAACTCAGGTCTTGGCAGCAGGAGCCTTCATCCACTGAACCATCTCACTAGCCCCTGTCATATCAGTTTGAAGGTAAAGTGTTCCCTGGGCCCTTAATTATTCTCCATAGCCCAACCCCCACATCCAGAGTGTGAGCGCTTCCTGGGAGTCTGTCCTCTCTCCCCTCCCCTTTCTGTCTGTCCTTCCTTCTTTCTTTTCCAGAGGCATCTCCTCTCTTCCTTCCAATCAAAGACCAAGGGACAGTAATCAGACACACCGCTCTACCAGGGACCGTATCTGAAGGGCAGAGTAAAAACAAATAGCAGAGTCCATGATTTGTCAGATAAGTCCCCAGACTCCGTATCTACAGCACTTCTCTATGAAGGTGGCTAACTTACAGATCACCCTTAGGAGCAGCAAGATGGGAAATAACGCCTCTGCTGACCTGGGGCGGCGGGGTTAGCTGCTGAGCTCAGTAAGCCTCCTCCAGAAGGAAGGATGCATGGCTCAGGTAGGGACCCCGTTCTCCCACTAACCATCTGTCCCATTCCTGCAGGGCCTCGTCATCCAGAGACACAGAAGCCTTACAGATTTTGCCTTCTTCTGTAAGTCCACGATTTGCGACAGGAGGTGCGTGATCTCCTCCTGCTGGCGGGCGGCGTCTTCCGTCTTCTTGGCCAGCTCCTCAGAGATGCTCGCAATCTGGACGTTGGCATCCCCTGTGACGAAGTAATGATAAGTGGGTAGCTGAGTTGGAAAACCACACACAGACCAAAGACGGGACACTGTCTTTATGGGGGAGAGCGGAGATGGGGGCACGGAGAGAGTCAAATTGGACATCTTTCCAAGTGTGATGTGGTTCCTGTGGGGCTGGAAAAAGAAGGAACCTAGCCTTCTCATGGGTTGTCTCTCCTGTGAGGGCTGACTCTACTGACCAAGGCTGCTCTCAGGGCAGGGCAGGCAGGCTCCAGGAAGGGAGCTGGAAGTGACACCCCAAATATGAGTGCACTTGGCTGAACCCCAGTGTTCTGCTGTGGACAGGCCACGACAGGAACTCTGCACACGGTGTATTTTGTGTGTAGCTTTTTTTTCAGGGCATTTGGAGCTGCAGCCCATTTTGCTAGATGTGAATGTGTTGCCCTTTCTCTTATCTTACCCGGAAACTCGTAACAGAGGGCACGGGGAAGGTCGATGCTCTGAATAGCAAAGCTGAGAGTCTGGCCTTCGTTTTAGTGAATCAGATCATTGATCTGGGCCGACCTTGAGCATCAAAGGATTATAATATTCCAATATAGAGTCCACATTAAAATTAAGTATCCACCTCATTGAGCGCACGGCTCTCGACTCACAAATGGGCAAAGGTTGCCATACAGGCTGGCAGGGGCCTTCTGTTTTCAGAAAATGTCACTGAGCTGTCGACTAGTGGGAACATCTTAGAGAAGGAGAGCCGGCAAGAGGGGCAGACATACTCAGCTCCTTCACACAGTCATTCACCAGCTGCTGCTCCTTCTCCTCGTAGGTGATGGTTTCCGTCTTCAGCTGACAGGCCTGTGGATGTAGATGATGTTCAGTCAGGGGACAGCATCGACACAGTCAGGATGGGCAGCAGAGCTGGGCAATCTCAGGCTCTCATATGAGCCCCTTCAACATCTCTGTCTCTGCGACCATCACACAGCACCCAGGAGAGATAACTCATCTGCATTCCCTGCCTAGGCAATGGGCAAGGCCCTAAAGCAGAGACCTGAAGGCTAGGTGCCACCAGGGGGCGCCCACCACACAGAGACGTGAACACAAGTTCTACCACTGAAAGGGGGTGACATGTTGGTCTATTTGCTACTTGCTTGTGTGCATCCAGCTCTCGTAGATATAATACCTCTATGGCCTTTATTGTGCCTAAGACACTGCCCTGACCATAGCAGCTTCTCTATGGTCACACAGGAACAGCCACACAGGAATAGAATTGTTGCCACACCAGACACAGGTTCTGAAGTGTCATTAACTCTGGCTGACCCAGTCTGCTAAGAACAAACTCAACATGTTAAAAAACAGCATTAAGACATGGTCTCAAGAGTCTTTCCAAAATAGGGGGTTTGGGGGTCCATCCCTGGAACCCTATCACCTGGAAGACTAAGGTGGGAAAACTGTCGTGCGTTTGGGGCCAGCCTAGGCTACGCAGTAAGCTACAAGCCAGCCTGGGATACAGAGAGCTTATCTCAAAGAAAACCCAAACAGTTTGGAAGTGATGGTGCACGCCTTTAATCCCAGCACTTAGGAGGCAGAGGCAGGCAGATTTCTGAGTTCAAAGCCAGCCTGGTCTACAGAGTGAGTTCCAGGACAGCCAGGGCTACATAGTGAGACCTGGTCTCAAAACAAAACTGAAGAAGAGGGAAGGCACAAATAGCTATTCCTAGAACTTTAGACAGCTTGCTCTGGCTGTAAAGAAGAGAGGAAAATGGTCTAGAGGGCCATGTAAATGCTCAGTTAAGTAGTCAAAGACAGCTGGCTCTAAGGGCATGGTGGACCCTGACCACAGGCAGACATGAAAATTCTGAGGGCACACATGGGCCATCAAGAATCCACACCTGGATCAGAGCCCTTTTGCTCTCTCTCTTGGGATAGAAGGGCTGGATGCCTGGGTAGTCACCTGGGCCAGATGCCCAGGGACTGCAGCTGGCAAGCATGGGCTCGGCCTCCTTCAGCCATGGGTCTGCAAGACCAAGCCTGGGTGACCTTGTCGGTCGTCCTACAATGCTGGGTAGTGTGGAGTCTGCAAAGATAGGTCGTGGGAAAGAGTTCCTGGTGCCTTGTAAGGTCCAGACAGGAGGCTCTTTCCAGTGTGTCCAGTGTGTGGCACGTTCAAAGTGACAGATGGCCTGCCCTCCTGGAGGGTCACTGGGAGTCTAGAGCCAGTTAAGGTATGCTCACGGCCCAAACCTGACAGACAAAGGCCATCCCTTTGCCTACAGACAAGCTCAATGCTAATTAAGACAAAAGGTACTAAATCTACTCAAATCAGAGGTTTTAGGTAGGTGAGTGGGAAAAAAAAACCCTGGGTTTAGAGTCAGAGGCTGTGGATATGGTCTTTGTCACTTATTAACTCTGACATCTTCAAACACCCAACAGCCTGGTGCCTGAGTCTCACAGCAAATGAGGCTCAAAGTAAGCGGCTGTAGGCCTCCCTCTGAAGACTAACAACTGATGGTAATAACAGTAACGTAACAACTGTAACAATGTATGAAAGGTGTCTGGTACAGGCCTTCCAGGCTCCCCGGCTGCCTCAGCTCAGCTTTGCCAAGTTCACCATGGAAGACCTGTCTCGAGACCCAGTCTACTGTCTTCTTAGAGCAACTCTTCTCCTTGATAATCACTCCAGCCCTCGGGCCATTGCTGCTGTGCCTGTACCCGCCTCAGTCCCCAACCCACTGCGACAGCCACTCCAGAAGCAATGCCCACACATGGCCAAGCCTGCAGCCGAGCACCTTGGCTGGAGCATGCAAGCTCAGGCAGGACTTCTTCAGATGGGCGCTAAGCAGATGGTACTGTCTCTGAGGCTGTTGCTGTCAGAGGGACACCTCTACCCAAGGGGCAAGAGCGGGATACACACCTCAGATCGGAGTACAACGTTCTCCTCTTCGAGGTCCTTCAGCTTCTTCTGAAGAGAGTCCAGGTGGAAGTAATTCTGGACAGAGGAGGATGACTCGTTCCTCTTCAGCCTAGGAGAAAAGCACACTCAAAATCAGAGAGGCCATTCCTTTCTCACCTGAGCAGAGGCCGGGAAGGGCTACCCCAAAGGTATAATGGCCACCTTAGCTCAGAATAGGGGGTTCAATTTATAAATAAATAAATTGTATTTAACCAATACAATTCCAGGATGTCCAAGAGTTCATTTAACTTGAGACACATACCTATTCACAAGAAAGGTTTCGTGGGCTGGTGAGGTGGCTCAGGAGGACAAGCTCTTGTTGCCACACCTGACAACCGGCGGCCAATGCCCAGGACCGGCAAGGTGGAAGGAGAAAACTTGCTCCTGAAAGCTGTCCCCTACCTCCATGTGCAAGCCATGTCATAGCCTGTGCCCCTCCCCCAATGTACACAAGTAAACAAATTAAAAATTAAGTGTTCTACATATGCTGCACGTGTGAACTCAGTGCTCACAACCCTGTGACCTACATGTTCTTAAGAGCTCCATTCTACAGTGAGGACATCAGCATGAGATGAGGTCACAGCAGAACTGTGTCCCCTCAGCAGGCCACTGAGCTCCCAAAAGCGAGGGTCTCCTGACTCTCAGAGAAGCATCCAGACTTCTGTCCCAAGGACCTGAGGCTCCAGGATCTATGTTTTCATCCACCGTTGAGCACATCACATTCCCACGGATGTGCCAGGGTAAAGGGCCACTTTGACAAGCCAGCAATGACACCCTGAGGGAGGGAAGCTGACCTCCACCCAGCAGTTCCCACTGAAGCTGTGAGGTGGTTTCATTTGAGGCCTTCAGATGGTCGTTCTGAGAAAGACTAACCCAAGGCACTAGCGACCCTGCCTAGAGGCCTCCAAGGACGTCCACATCAGCCCGCCTGCCCTTATCTCCGGGGACCTGTGCTGGCGACTTACGGGGTTGAGCAGACAGACTCAGGCTCGCTCTCCTCAGCGGCACTGGTGTAGAACTGCAGTAGCTCATCCTTCATGGACAGCTCATGTCGGAGCTGAGACACCTGTGTGGACAGCAAGGGGCAGGTTGATGCTTGCTGGAAGGTGTCATGTCCTTTCTGTGCTCAAACACTGGTGAGGGATGGCATCCTAAGTGAGGACTGATTTGCTACTCATTGTTTCAAAGCATCGAGTTTGACGGCGTTTAAGAAAAGCCCAGTCAATCAGTTCTGGGTTGGAAACGGTCTATGTTCTCACGTTTAGTCAGAAGAGCAGATAGGGGTGCAGAAGGCTCTGGAAGGATCAGGAGGCGAGACTGCCTATTGGTTTTGGAAGCAGCCAGATGACCAGCTGGGCAAGTGGCCAGAACAGTGAACCATGATACTAAATGAAACAAGAGGCCACTTGCTTTGTTAGAACCCAGTGCCATCTCAGAGCAGATCTGTGGCTGTGCTGACCCAGGTGGGCTGCCAGGAGCGGTTCACAGACCCTGCTTAGATAACCACACAGCCCTCCATGTGACCAGCACACCTCAGTGGCCCTTGCCAAGCTGATCACACCCTCTTCTGCACTTAGCACAGTCACTGGGCAGAAACTCAGGGTACAGAAGGAAAGACAAGCCTCGAGGAAAAGCAGCGTGGCTGACTGATGAGGTGGCTGTGCCACGTGGCTGATTTGGGCTCAAGGCTTTCAAATAAGGCAGTGGCTACTATAAAACTTCCACCTGTCCTTCCAGCACTCAGTGCTGATAAGCGCAGGACCAGGGCTGTGAGGGAGAACTGGAAGTCTGTTTTCTGAGGCAGCTGGGGGTTTGTTCCAACTTTCCCACGCCACGCAGGGCGTGGACTCTGCGTCCTTGGCGAGTCCACTGTTTTATATACTGCATAAAGGTTCTCCATACCGAAAGGGGTCACTTGATGATTCTCCAAAGGGAAGCATGACCTCATAGCTTTCCAGTTCAAAGCTTCTCCTGGGAAGCAGGGCATATCCACTCCCATGGAGTAAAATGCTTTCTATACATCCCCGGGAAGTCTCACACCAGATGGCCACGGAAGGAGGCCAGTGGGCGGCCACTCACAGGCACCTGGGTGGGGCTTCCCTCTGCTCAGAAAGCCCATGTGCTTCCTTACCTGACTGAGGCCCTTTCCCTGGACCAGGGAAGGCAAGAACTACTTTATTTCTCCCCGCAACACACAGCGTTCTAGCTTATCATTTCTGAGAGCAAGCTGGGGGTGACACTCTTTCTTACGAGTGGATTTAAGTAAAACATTAAGCCCAAATCAGAAACAGCTTTAATGAGAAAAAGAAGACAGACTGACTATGTCTTAGGGTCTCAGATAAGGCCATCCTTTCCCGTTAAGGACGTTAATGATGGACAGGAGAGGAAGAAGAGGTGAAAAGGAAGAGTCCTCAGGGCTAAAACTTGCTGCTAGGAAAACAGGATAAGAGGAGAGAAGCCACCATGGATGGCTGGGCTCTGATCTCCAAATCCCTGTTCTGTCAACCCCAGCCAACTCTGAATTGTCTCCATGCATTTTAAACATCACTTCCAGGGCGCCAGCATCCTTCTTCCCGACTCTAGGCCCCTCTTGGAGATGGTGAAATAGTCCACGGCTGTCCTCTCCTCCCCCTGCCCCTCACAACCGTGAATTAAGACGAGTGTTGTGTACTGGCGAGTTTATACGATGAAGACTGCAGGCCACAGTGTTGCATGAGTTTATAGGATGAAGGCTGCAGGCCGCAGTGTTGCACTGAGTTTATAGGATGAAGGCTGCAGGCCGCAGTGTTGCACGGCTCCTGCTCTTACACAGTGATACTGGTGTAAGGAGAAGGGGAGCTGCTCCTGCACCTGCTCGTTGTAGAGGCCCAGCATAGACAGTCTACATGGCAAGTCTAGATTCTCCAAGTACAAGTCTTGTCACATCTGCCCGTGCTCCCACCCACCTCCCTGACTACTCCCTGGCCAGTGGTCCTCACCTCCTCCCGGATGTGCTCCACCTGCTCTTCCAGCAGCTCATTCCTCTCAGTTAGGGTCTTGTTCTTCTTCAACAATGACTGGCCAATCCTTGCAGCCAACTCCAAATCCCGCTCTTTCTGTGAAAGGCAAGTGGGAGAATGCAGACTTAACCCTGTGCATCCTGGAGGAGCCAACAGGGCTCAGTATCAGATGGGCATGCCCAGAAACAGTAGGAGAATTTACAGTTCGCCATCCAGGTACCAGACGCCTGTTAAATAGCAATAAGCTTGGCCACACGTGTGCAGGAGCCACGCAGAAAAAAATTGGTGAAAACTAGGTACATGGAGGGAAAGATGCTTTAGTTATTTGTTAAATAGTTGGTAACACTTCACCCTGCTTGAAAGCCAGCACATAGGAACACCACTGACTCAGATGGATGGATGGATGGATGGATGGATGGATGGATGGACGGATGGACGGATGATGGATGGATAGATGGGTGGATGGATGGTTAGAAGGACGATGAATGATGGGTAGATTGATAGATGGATGAATGGGTAGGTTAATGGGTTGGTAGGTGGGTGGATGGATGGATGGATGGATGGACAGATGCGTGGATGAATAGGTAGGTGAGTGGACAGGTGGGTAGATGGATGGATGGATGGATGGGTGGGTGGGTGGATGCAAAGATAGATAGATAGATAGATAGATAGATAGATAGATAGATAGATAGATAGAT